GAAGCATTTGCACCAATCACCTAAGACCCAGCTTAGGTACCCCAAGAATTCTAACTAATACTAAAGGAAAGCAAACCAGTTGGAGGGGCTGGAGACATGAGATGACTCAGGGGCTAAAAGCACTTGTTGCTCTTGTAGAGGCCCAGGTTCAGTTCCCAGAATCCACACGGTGGTTTATAACCATCTCTAACACCAGGCTCAACGGATCTGATACTATCTTCTGACCTCCTTAGGTGCATGCTCACAGATGTGGACAAAACACATAAAATGAATCTTTAAAAAATAATTTTTAAGAAGAAATCATATGGAATTTTTTCTTTTAAAAGCTGAAATATGTAATAATATGTACTGATATCTCATGACTCAGAACTGTTGATAATTATACCTTTTAAATTTTCATTTTATTTCAAATTTTGAAAAAGGGTCTCACTATGTTGTCTAGGCTAGTCTCCAATTCATGGGCTCAAGAGATCTACCTGCCTCATCTACCCCAGTAGATTTCAGTACTGGGAATACAGCTGGGTACCACACCTGATCAACAACTGACTGGGAGTTTAACGAAGTGGCACAGCATACCCTAGCATTCATAAAGCTCTGGGTTTCATCCCCAGGACTGGGAAAAGTAAGAGATGAAAACAAAATACATTTAACTATCCTGCCTGCCATATTGTCTTAAGTCACTAAAAAGGAAACCAATAATCATAGATACAATTTCTTAAAGATGTTTTAAAGAAAAACTACACAACCAAAACTTCACATTTTAAGGATTTAAAAGAGTCCCTTCTAGTGACTGAAGTTGTTAAACGGCCTAATACTACATACAACTTAAAACTATATTGGGGTAACTCATGCATTAGAAATGTTTCTGCTTGTACTTTAAATGTGTGGTAATCTTTAGTATCTGTGGAAACAAGTACAACTCCATATTTCCAGTTTATTAGCATGACTCACAAAAGAATATATTATGGTTTACCAATATCACGGAAATCATACAGCCCAAAGAGGTTTTGTTGTTGCATTCATGTTTAAAAGCTATGTTAAAATGCATTTGGTTTAAATGTTAGTAATATACAAATATTTTCTAGGTAACTTTTAAGACTAAAAGTTACTATTGCCAGATTGCTGTGGCTAAGCATTGATTGAAAGAGAATATGCTCTCTCTCTCTCTCTCTCTCTCTCTCTCTCTCTCTCTCTCTCTCTCTCTCTCTCTCTCTCCTTCTATAATGACAATTTAGAAGGCAAAACACAGTGGAAGTACTCCGCCCACCCATCCTTAGTATCTGGCTCTAGTAGAATGAGCCAAAACCTTAACTTAGTAAAGACTGGCAAAACACATGCGTTAACTTCATGTCTCACAATGACACTAACCAAGAGGCATGACCAAGCTACTGTAGCACAAAATCTATAGTGCAAAGGGGCAGAAATGACCACGTAAATGTTACGTTCTGAGGAAACCTAAATGAAGAGTGGAAACCTTTAGAAACATGTCAAAGTATGCAATTTTCAAACTGTTAATATTAACCATAAACCTCAGCATCCTGTCAGGGCACAGAACCGTTGGCCTAGAAATATCCCTACATATTGCTTAAACTGATCTTACTTACTGGATACATACTTCTTTTTAAATGAAATACATTTGTATTGACTTACTGGTGTGAGGAAGACACTAAAGGGCCAGAGGACAACATGGAAGAGGGTTCTTTCCTTCCACTACATGGGTTCTGGGGATGGAACTCAGGTCATCAGGCTTGGGGTACAGCCTTCCTCCCAGCTGAGCCATCTGGACAGACCTGAGGGATACTTACGAGACTCCTTAATACTTAAAGAGACACCCGAATGGATGAAGAAACAGCTATTCTCCCTCTACTTCTGTGCTAAAGACAGATTCTGAAAATCTCTGCTTAATGAAGAACTAAACAGGACTAAATATTAACAGTTGGAAGGAAATTTAACAACCAATTTTAATCCAAATTTTATCCCAAAGCTAGATTCCAAAGCAATGCATTTAACACCAATCATTAGGAGTTTACTACAGGAGCTACAAAGAGAGTTTGGTTAAGAGTGCAAACTGCTCCTGCAGAGGGGTAAAGTTTGCTCCCAGCACCTACTTCAGGCAGCTCACAACCAACTGAAATTCCAGATCCAGGGATCCCACCTCTTCCGGCCTCTGCAGGCACCTGTATACATGTGGTACACATAGACAGACAGGCACATACACACAATAAAAACTAATTTTTTAAAAGCTTAGGACGTTAAAGACTAAATGGTGACTGCTGGAGGCGACACAAATATGCCTTAATTATAACTTCCAACAAAAATTCTATAGGATGTTCCAAAGATTTATGGGCTGTGAAACAGAATACCATACTATAAAAAAAAACAATAAAAAAAGGAGCAGCAGCAGGTAAATTCCTTCAGAAAATATGTACATGGTATCTGGGCTAAGCAAAGAACAAGAATTCGATTTGGGACATGTCACAAAGAAAGGAAACATATTTCAAGCAGCACCAGATGGTTACAGTTGAATGACCTACACAACAAATGCCATCTATAACAATGTTTCCCAGATAGTCTCCACTTGCAATGCTTGTGTTCTTGATGTTCATTCTCCAAACACTCAACTTTTGCATCTGTGCCCTTGTTTATCTCTGCCTGGAACGCCCTCCCCCCCCCAGGTGTCTCTCTGCAAGGCTGCTTTTCTTACCACATTCAATACTTGCTTAAACATTACTTCTTGGTGACAATGTAACTGACTGCAGTAGTTTAAATTATCATCTTCACGCTCCCTACTTTGCCTGACTTTATTTTTTCCACATCATTTATTACTATTAATACCTGTAATACTATATAGGCTATTTATTAGCCATGTCTACATCCCCTGCAAGACAGAAAGTAAATGTGTTTGTTCGGTTACAGTGCCTACATGTGGTAGACGTGAAGTAAACATCTGATGAGAAACTGACAATGGAATATATTAACAAAACATAGTATCTGCCCTCACAGGAGCAATGAGGCAAATTACTTTCAATTACTTCTGAAAGACAATTTGGCACATGGTGGAGAAAATCCAATTTCTAACTACTGACCCAGAGAAACATCTTCTGGTGAACCGCCTCTAGAAAGCCAGCATCCTTTTAAATACCTTCCAGCCTGAGGTCTCCAGCAGCACTGTCACTCAGACAATGACCAAAAACACGGCACCACTGCCTCAACTGCACGATTTTCCCAAATTAGCCTCCACTGCTACCTAATAATTAAAGGTGAAAGACAGTTCTACTCCCACTGTTGGACAAGAGGAAGTTGTATTTCTAAATTTCCAAGTTAAATCCACATTTCATATGCCTAAGTCTACCTATAGTAGGTGATTACCATGAAATTATGGATCAGCCAAGGAACCTATAATGTTTAATAATTAATTGTATAGTACTAGGGACTGAAGCCAGGACCTTGTGGACATGAGACACACTATCACTAGTCTATCTTTTACTTTTTATATTGAGACAGGGTCTCGCTAAATTGGACAGGCCAGCCTTGAACTCACAGCCCAGGTCTTGACCTTCCAATGCTTTCTGTCTCAACTTCCTGAGTAGCTGGAACTACAGGCCTTCTTATCAGACCAGACCAATTACTAAATTTAAATGTAGGGAAAAAAAAAAAACACTTCTCAATGTGATTTCACTATTGGAACACACCTTTTCTACACAGCAAATGGACTCAACAGAGACTAGTTAACATTTTAGGCAATCAGGTAATGTCAAGTTAATGACATTGTTTTCCTCAGAAGGAACAACTAGAATTTTATTTTGGATTCAAGAATAATCTACTTTTTAAACAGACTATTAGCGTTTAAGTTATACTACACTAAAAACCACACAAAAACTAGAGCAAAGTGTTCCTGATCATCAGGAAAAGCAGAGCTACTTAAGGAAATGAAGCAGCTCCGTTTCTCACTTCAACCAACACCTCCACAGACTGCATTATCACTTTAGGCAAACTGACATTTTCACGTTTCATTTTTAATGGCAGGAATAATTTCCATCTGGGGCCATAAAGTGTTGGTGCTGGCACATTTTCAAAACTAAATTCAAAGTCCACGTCTGGCTATAAGCAGAAACGCCCCAAGATGGCACAACAGCTACAGAGCTCACATTGCCCCTACAAATGACAGCTCAGCGGATGACCTAGTATGAGTTTTGCCCTCAGGTAAGGCATGGGAACCTATTACCTCTCCTGATCATTGATCAGTTATCTTCGCGACTTTAAAGTCAACTGCCCCTAGCAATATTAACAATGTTCACAGTTCTAGAAGCGAACTTTCACAGATGCTCTTTCGTTTAAAGCAAAACTCAGGGCAGCTGCCCTTATGTTTTGGTTCAAATAGGAAAAGCCTCACCAAAATGAAATCTTTGACTCTGAGGGTCAACGACTCAGGCCCCCAGTTATTTCAAGAGTAAATTCAGACAGCACGTGAGAAGCCCAACAGCAACGTGGGGTTCCCCCCTACAGCCCCCCTGGAAGTCGTCACACGGGGGCTTCCGATGCCTCCCATATGGAAACACCCCGGACACACGCGGGCCAGGGCGTGGGGCGAGCCAAAGCAGCTGAGCTCGCAGGGGATTAGGGCGGACGCCGTGGCCCATCTGGCCCCGGGCGACAGAGAGCAATCCACCTGGCCAGGCTGGGCGACGGGGAGCGGGACCGGGCGCCCGACAGGAAACCGCGGCTCGGCCGCCGAGTGGGGCTGAGGTGCCGGGCAGGTGGGCAGCGCCCCTCGCGGCGGACAAACCGCCTCGCCCACAGGCGAGGGCGAGCAGCCCCGCCGGCGGGGAGTGGCAAGCGGCTCCCACCGCCCGAGCGGACAGGCGGCGGGGCCAGGAGTGCGACGCGGGGAGGGCCGCCGCGGCGTCGCGAGAGGGTCGTTCTGAGGGAGCCGCTGGGCGCTGCCCTGCGCCGGCGCCGGCGCTCGCCCTCTCCCGGGTCCGCGGCAGGGGCGTACTCACATAGGGCTGGTAGAACTTGGAGAGCCGCGGCTTCCCGTGGTTGTTGAAGATGAGGATGGCCTTGATCATGGCTGGGCCGGGCCGACCACGGGTGGGCGCTGGGGCCAGGGCGGGGGCGGGCGCGCGAGCCTCGCCTCCGGGAGCTTTGCTGCCACGGCTTCCCCACCCGCCCCCTCCCGCACGCGCGCGCGCGCTCCCGCGCTGTGGGGCGGGGCCTGGAGGCGGGGCCTGGGCGGGGCGGGCCAGAAGGAAGCGGAAGCGCCTCCGGGCCGGAGCCAACTGGCGGGAGGCGCGGGGAGTGGGAGTGGTGCTTGCTCCTCTGGTGGCGCGCGGAGGCTCGTCACGGAGGCATCCCGGAAGCTCCCCGCGACTTTGTGACACTCGGTGCTCCGTGAAACGCTGTGCTTCCAACAGAGCGCGTATCCGGACACCCCACGGTTCGCCGCGGGCCAGAGCCACCCCCTCCCGGTGCCTTCTTTGCGACCCTCGGCTCCGGGTACGTCACTTCCGCCACCGACTCCGGGCCCGCAAGATGGCGGAAGAGCCCGAAGCCGTGCTGCAGCTCCCTTCTTCAGCGGCCGCGGCCAGCGGCGAGACCCTTTCGGAACTCTCCCCGGAGACAGTCACCCCGGAGCCCCCGTCTTCGGCCGCAGTCTCTCCGGGGACGGAGGAACCTCCCGGGGACACCAAGAAAAAAAGTAATGTCAACATCCGTTTGTGGGCGGAGGCAGGGGCTTTAAAGCATTTCTGACCGCGGCGGGCCGTGAGGAAGCCTAAGCTAGAGTCAGGCGCGTCCCAGAGGTGCGCTTGGCCTCTTAGGAGGTTGCAGGAGTACCTAGGTGATCTGGGGGTGCCCGGGGCCGCCGTCCCTCGCCCCTTTGACGGCGTCTGGTCTCGGAGTGGTCAGTCTTGAGCACCGTAAAGGTGGGAGCCCCGTGAGATCTCGGTAGCCCCGGGTGCTTAACACGGGGCTAGCTACCGAGATAAGCGTTGAAGGTGACAGGAGCCGCAGGTGGGTTACAATCCGCGGATTCTGTCGAGTTCGCTATTGGCTTCCTCCAGCTGAGTATGAGTTCATTCCTTAGGACAGAAAAACCAAAAAACTGGAATTTTAGATACTGTGAGGAATGCTAAGGGGAAACTAAAGGTATAGGTGTTGCCTTTCTGGTAACTTTTTATTTGGGATGGGGGCCATGCCCTTGTGCATCAGTGAATGGCCTTAACTGGTTGTCCCCGGCTTCTGTGTTGTGTTAGGGGGGTGTTTGCCACGGGAGAGTAAGGAAATTCAGGTTAACTTCCCCTGAACGCTGTAAAGTTAGAGTCGGCTATGAGAAAAAAAAAAAAACCAGCAAATAAACTTGTATCAATGGGAAAGGTAGACCTCGTCCTTAGTAGTTCTCCTTTCAGAGACATTAAATGCAGATCCGGTTGTGTTTTCTGCTCCTTGTCTCATGACTTGTTTATGCTGCGTGGGAGGAGAATTTTCTCCCAGCGCTGCTCCTAGGACATGCAGGTGTGTGTAGATCTGTAACAGAACTCTACAAAAGGTCTTAGGGGTTCAAGAAAGAAAGAACAGACTGACTCTGTGTTTGGAGGAAATCTGCCATGTATATATGCTGTACTGAGTATTTGGACAGATAACCACTGTCACCTTGGGGGGGGGGGAATCCAAATATTTTTCCTTCCAGTTAGCTGTATGGAGCTGACTTTTAAAGGTTTCTTTTAAGATGGAAGCACCAGGCTGAAGGTGGTGATATACACTTTTAATCCAGCACTCAGAAGCCTGAGGCAAACAGATCCCTCTGAGTTCGAGGCCAGCCCGCCCCCCCCCAAAAAAAAACTACTAGGTCAAAATTTTAGTCTTTCACACTGATGATTGCTGTGCCAAAAAAAAAAGCAACAAGCAAACTAGAAAATGACCCATATTCCAAGATATTGCCTGAGATGACTGTTTTTGTTTGAGTCTCCATATTTTTTTTTGACAAATTGAATTCCTATTTTTATCCTTTTGTAGACAATTTGATGATCAGATATTTCACATTTCCACTGTAATTTACAGAAGGATTGCTGAAACAGACAGGTTCTTGACCCTGGTGGCACAGTATTAGAGGTTTCTCTGACCAAGCTTTTGAATACCAGTGCTAAGGTCCTACTTTGCAAAAGATTTTGATTTAATTGCTGTGCAAATTAACTGTTCTCCAGTTGATTCTAATGTGTAGTAGGGGCTCTGAGCTACAAGCAAGTCATGTTGGGAAGTAAGACTATAGATGTAATTACTATATAATTACTATAAATTACTGTGTCTCTGGCTTCTTGCCCTCTGGCTCCTCTTTCTTCAATAGTACAACTCAGTGCCTAATTGCTGCTGAGTTATTGATTGCTCCAGGGGATTGAGGGAACTGGGGAGGAAGGTATAAAAGATAAACTAACCAAAATCACCTCTATGCCTTCTTAACTCATCCTTATTCCCGAAATAACTGAAAGGACACTTACGTAGCTCTTCTCCAGGATATGGGCTACATCATGTGTTTTAGCATTTCAGGAGGAAACTTGATCTCCTGGAACTCGCTCTGTAGACCAGGCCGCAAACTCCCAGAGATCCGCCTGCCTCTGCCTCCTGAGTGCTAGGGTGAGAGGCCTGGCTTCAGGAGGAAACTTGAATAAGTTGATCCCAATATTGAATGCCAAACAAATGGGGCAAGAGTGTGATAGCAGTTACATAGTTCTGCTTTCAGGGGCTCTTTGATCGTAGGTGTCCCTTAAAGGGAAATGACCTTCATTAAGGAGATCAGTCTTAGTTAGGAGATCTGTTTTAAATCACTGAACCATCACTGCTGCTGTCTTTGAGACTTCTTTTGGACCCCTGATTGTATTTTTAAATAATAATAATAATAGTCTTTTTTTTTTTTCATTAAAAAGTTAAGTTTAGCCGGGCTTTTAATCCCAGCACTCGGGAGGCAGAGGCAGGCGGATGCTGTGAGTTCGAGGATGGGCTGGACCGACAGCCTCCAAAACAATACAGAGAAACCCTGTCGAGTAAAACCAAAAAAAGAAAAGTTAAGTTTAGAAAATTTAGTATTTACAAAAACCTATATGTCACTACCAAGAAGTAACATTTTGATATGTACTCTATATTAATGTGTGTATGTGTTTGATACTTAATGAATAATGAAGTTATGGAGTTATATACATAATTTTTCTATTTTGCACAATTTCTTAAACTATTAACTGCTTTTATAATGTGTTTTTGAACAGCTGTTTAATAATCTTAAGGTTCTGTTAGTGTAAGTTATAGTCTAGGTACTCACCCCTCATATCAACCCTGTGAGATAGGTGCCGTTACAGGGACCTGATACTGCAAGATGACAATGCTTGTAGCTCTACAAGAGACAGCCACAGTTTGGACCCAGTTTGGAATATGCGTCCTTTCTCTGTAAATTCTGCCATAAAACATCTCATATTTCAATGGCATCCACATATATGTGTTGAATATGTAAATTTACTGCAAGCAGGGGAAAAATGCATGAGTTATTTTCTTGGCTGTTTGGGTATTGTTTTATATCATGGCCAGATCAATTTCTTACCTTTAGAATTCTGTTGTGTCAAAATGTGTTTTAAAGATTAATCCCATAGAAAGAACTTTATAGGCTCAAGGGAGAAAATAGTGGAGAAGAGTCTAATATTTTTTTGTTTTGGTTTTTGGTTTTACGAGACAGGGTTTCTCTGTATTGTTTTGGATACTGTCGTCCAGCCCGGCCTCGAACTCACAGAGATCCACCTGCCTCTGCCTCCCGAGTGCTGGGATTAAAGGCGTGTGCCACCACCGCCCAGCTGAGTCTAATATTTTTATATCTATGGCATAGCTCCAGAATAATAACTACATAAAATATGTAGATGAGAAGTTTGTTTTCTGAACTGTTTCACATCACATTCTCATCAGATGTTTCAATACATTTTTTTTAAGTTGACATCCTGCTAAAGGCTGTAGGAGATACCCCTATAATGAAAACAAAGAAATGGGCTGTAGAGCGAACACGAACCATCCAAGGACTCATTGACTTCATCAAGAAGTTCCTTAAACTTGTGGCCTCGGAACAGTTGGTATGAAAACAATCATGATTGTTTGCCTATAAAAATTCACAATAGTTCCTAGGCAACCACGAGTAACACATGTACATAGAAAGCTACACATTGCTTCTGTTTTATGTATTTTATCTGTAGGAGCTCTAAAATGAAATGAATTTAGATTTACTTTGCTCTCTAATACAGTTGTGTTTTATTGTATTTATCTCTGGTGGGGTTGGAAGGTGCATGCAGAGGTCAGAGAACAATTCTGGGAGTGGATACTCACCTACCATGTTTCTGGAAATTATCTCAGGTCATTAGTTTGGCAGGGAGTGTGCTTAACTTGAAGCCTTTAACATCGTGTTTATTATTACTGCTACTGCTTTCCAGTTTGTTTTTGTATTTTTTTTAAGACTGGCATTTTGGTTATTTTCCTCAAATACCACTGAATATCCATGCAATGGATATTTGTCATAGAAATAAAGCTCACCAAGTAGGCTAGGTCCCATCTCTGTCTCCCCATTGCTGGGGTTACAAGCATGTTCTGCCATTGCCTAGCATCTTGTGGTGTATGTGAGGGATAGAACTCTGGTCTTCACGCTTGCACATCAAGCACATTATCACCTGAGCTATCTCCACATTCAACAATGGAGACATTTTGAGAAATGCATTATTAGACATTTTCTTGTGTGAACATCTTGAGAGTATGGTTACATGAATTAAAATAGCACATCACGTGAAGACAGAATCTTATGGCACCATGATTGTATATGCAGTTCCTCCCTAACTAAATAATCACTAAAGCACATAGCTGTGCTTGTCATTGTATGTTATTTGCTGTGTTTTATCTTTCAAGTAGCCACATGAGATACAGATACTATTACTTTCATATCATTCCTATACATAGGATAGACCATGAGATGTTGTTTGTATTTAGGACTAGGACTCTTAACTGCCTCATTCAGTACTGAAAGGAAAAAACCTAACCAATATTATTTGTTGTATAAATAATACCTGTTGACTAGCTGTTCTCATACTGTTTTCTTTAAGAGAAAGAGACAGAGAGACAGACACAGACAAGATTGTTAAACCTAAAGTATTTTACCTTAGATTTTTAGATGGATGTTGGATGTTACCTGCCAATTTTCTTCTATTTTCTAAAAAGTTGATCAAAGGCCTTTCCGGCACTATGACCTTTTGCTTTAATATCTTTAGAAGTGTTTTAAGCACTAGAAATATTTTAATTTAAAACAGATTAAACTAAAGTCTGGAACAATGAGTTCTTTTTTTCTTTTTTTCTGTAAGTAACTTAACTAATAGTGTCCAGCTTGAAGCTCAGTACCTCTGAAGTTTTTCAAAAGTAATAAAGGTCAAAAGAAAGGAGAAAACCGTGTGTAACATAACCAAGGAAAATACCCAGTATCAAATGTATTGATTTTTACTTGCATATGTGAAAGTATTAGAAGAAATTTTATCTTGTAGCTCAGTGGGATGTTTTTCTTCTTTTGGAGTAGTCTTCACTGTGTAGCCCAGGCTGACCTTGAACTCATGGGCAATCTTAAACTCACTTGCTGCACTTACCTGCTGGGATTACAGTTAAGAGCTACTATGCCAAGTAGGCATTTTGTTAAGGTAGTGTTTGAATATTCTTCCAAAAACTGTTTGTGAAAAAGTGCTTAAGTGTATTTATCTGGGGAACTGGCTCAGATGTAGACCTCCACCTTGTGTGGGTCTGTATAACCCCAGTGCCTGGTAGGGGAGATGGGCAGACTCTGTGTCTCACTGACCAGCCAGACTAGTCTTTAGATGAGCTCCAGACTCAGACTCAAACGAATAAGGCAAGAGAGCCATCAAGGATGATACCCTGTGTCGACCTCTGGCACAGACACACTAGCACACACCACAGTATCTAAAAGTGTCTTAGTTACAGAAAGGATGCCATTTTGAATCCTTTTTTTTTCTTCCCTATAGTTTATTTATGTGAATCAGTCTTTTGCACCTTCCCCAGACCAAGAAGTTGGAACTCTATATGAGGTAAGTAGCCTCCCCCATGGGTGTCATGTCTGTTGTGTACTGTGGACTACTGATTCCCATCTTTAGGAAGTAGCATGCTATCTTAATTATCAATGGGAGAAGACAACCTTGTTCTTTTATACCATGAATACCTTTAACATAGTAGGATTTTAATAAGTTAAGCTTAAACAGTCAAGGGATAAGTTCTATTTAGAAGTCCTCAAGCCAGGTGGTGGTGGCGTACGCCTTTAATCCCAGCACTCGGGAGGCAGAGGCAGGCGGATCTCTGTGAGTTCGAGGCCGGGCTGGACCGAAACAATACAGAGAAACCCTGTCTCATAAAAACCAAAAAAAAAAAAAAAAGAAGTCCTCGTTTGCTTTCCCCTAGAAATTTTGTCTGATTTATATTGCATCTGCATTATTCATGCATTATTCATTACTGTCTGTAGCTGAGATCTGACTCCAAAAAAAAAAAAATGATAAAACTGCATTAGAATGACTTTATTCAACAGTGCTGCTTCATGGCAATAATCATTAATAAACCACTAGCCCTGCTGCAAGAGAGCTGAAAACACCTTCTGTCAGAGATGTCCTGCGGGCAGGGCAAGAATTTGAGCCACACCCAAGGCACTCACTCTGGTTACTGATGCGTGTGATAGTCACCTTTTGAAGAAGGAAGTGTGTTATAGAACTCTTTCACAATCTGAAATAATTAGTATTTGATATGTTGTCTCTTCTTTTTGTAGTGTTTTGGCAGTGATGGTAAACTGGTCCTACATTACTGCAAATCACAGGCGTGGGGATGAGCCACAGATGAGCAACTTGGTGGTTTCACAGAAGAAAAGGCTCAGAAAAGCTTTGATGCTGTGGGGAGAGACTTGATGGCTATCAAATACTCAGCATGAATCTGCTATGAGCTGTGCTTATGTGTAAGAAAGCATCATAGAGTAAATGGACTGAAAAATGAGATTTGTGTCACCATAAAGTCATCATGAAAGATTAGGGTGCCCATTATCCCCACATTCCTATTTCAGATCTGCCTCCAAGGTTAGAAAGGAGACGAGCTCTATTGTGGGTTCTCAGGATGACTGAAGTTGTTTACTTGTGGAGGTGGCACTATGCTTTTTCCATGGTAAAACTAATTTGCAGGAGGGTTAGTATTTTGAGGTAGTTTTCTTTTTTAACCTCTTCGGGGAACCTCCGTTTGGATATGAACTGTCTACATTTATCCATGTTGCTTTGAGAAACCAAATGCACTGACTTGTCTCAGTGTCTTAAGTTATCCAGTAGAGGGCAGCCCAGTTTGCAAAAAGGTTTGACGGCTTTGACAGCTTTGCCAGGTGACTGAGGGAAGGACTAATTTCTAGTTTAAATGTGTAATGGGAAGAGCAACTGTGTTGACAGACTGGAGGAGTTGGAGGATGTGCATAGTTTAAAATTAATCATGCGGGAAGCAGTTTCACAGATTGTGAGCCAGTGAGTCCTCCACGATTTCCAGTCCTGTCATTTATGATTCTTGGGCCTCAGCCTGGGCATCATGACCCACACTTGTAATTTCAGAGCTCAGGAAGCCTAGGCAGGAGGAGTATCAAGAGTTCAAAACCAGACTGGGCTGCAGAAGAACTTACCCCAAACAGATTGTTGACCCCCACCCAGTGTAGTCCCACTGTCAATTATCTGGGTCAAAGCAATTGACTTAGTAAACCCAGCAGCATTATCAGCTTTTCATTCATCCCAGCCCTCATTCGTAATCTGTTCCTGATGTGTTTTCCAGATTGAAAGCATTCAAAGATAGTGCTTTAAAAATAGCCTCCAATAATATACCATCATGAAAAAGTATTTGGTCACTGGTGTTTTTAGACTGGTCATTGCTTGAAGTGAGATTTACTTTTATTTCCTTATGTACCGTATTTGTTTTGTGCACTCCTACCCCACTCTACCCCCACCCCCATTTCACTATGCAGCTTTGCCTAGCCTGGAACTCAGAGATCTGTATGCCCTCCTCTGCCTCCTGAACGCTGAGTTTAAAGGTATGGACCACCTGGCTTGGTTCCATACATGTCTTAAGGTATTCCATCCTGAACCACACATGGTAGTGCACACTTACCTAGCATTCAGGAGGCTGAGGCAAGAAGACTGATAGTTTAAAACCAGTGTAGACCACAGGGTGAGACTGTCTCAACAAAACATGAAATTAACCCTTCTTCCCCTCCTCTGAGGAAAGCATTCCAATAAATTAAATGTCTCAACAGTTTGCAGGATTTGAAGTATGTGAGAATTCCAAGGGTTTACTTTCAAAAGTGATGATGGAAATGTATCTTTTTTTATCAAAAAAAAATCTTGAAGACTTGAACTACACTTTTTTTGTTCTGTTTTTGAGATGGGCTGACCTGCTTCAGGCTTCAGGGTGCCAGGGTTATTTTGTGCACCACGGCACCTGGCTAGTTTAGAGTGTGCTCTACAGTAGTTCTCAGCCGTGTGAGCCGTGGAGGATGCTGTGAGCAACACAGCACAGTGCTGTGCACTCCTGTGTCTGCCATAGAGTGTGAGTTCCAGCTGTCCCCTTTCTGCATTGCCTTGGAGTGAGGTAACCCACGTAATAGTTCACACAAGAGTGACATGGACAGCCAGCTAGACACAGGATAGGCTCAGGAAAACACCTGACATTTCGGGAGCCTGGAAGCACTGATTGATAAGCAGCGTCAGTCAGATAGGGAAAAAGATCTGTTCAACTCACTATGAGGTTATTAAAGAGCACAACAGTAGATATTTAACAGGAGAGCTATGTAGAACTTACTGTTTGCTGATGTCTAGGTGACAGGGTGCTTATTAACTCTTATGAAATCAAAAATACTTGAGTTTGAATTTGTGTTTACCAAAATAACTCATTACCCTATTAAATCAAAAGTTAACTAAATATGTATATCTTATTTGTTTTCTTCTCCCAGTAGCTTTGAGGATTATGTAGGGATTTATACTTAATCAAACTGTTTTACATTGTCTATTGGTCTTTTCCCTAATTAATTTCGATACTGACGTTATAACACTTGTAAACTGGGAGCCTATGACTGATGGGGTGACTAGACAGTTTAATGTATCTCAAGTGCAATTGAAATTTGGGGACAGGGACATAATATTTTCAGTTTTCCATGTGTATGATGAGTGTAGTGATACCACATTAAATCTCCCTGTGCAGAGAGGTACAACAGCACCTGAAATATATGTGACATAGTGGATATATTTCTACTCCTGTCCTTAAATTATTTATGATAAGGATTTCATAATGACTTTTTAAAAATTTAGAACATAAAGCAAGTTAAAGAGTGATTTGTTGCTAATCAAAATAAGATTGGATCTTCCTGAAGGCTGATTTCTGGAAGTTTTTTTGTTGTTGTTATTTTTCGAGACAGGGTTTCTCTGTGGCTTTGGAGGCTGTCCTGGAACTTGCTCTTGTAGACCTGGATGGTATTGAACTCACAGAGATCTGCCTGCCTCTGCCTCCCGAGTGCTGGGATTAAAGGCGTGCGGCCACCACCACCTGGCCCGATTTCTGCAAGTTTTAACCTTAAAGGTTTTCTATCTGTCATGATCTCTAATCATATAAGAAAACTGAAAATTGTAAGCTCTGCCTACATAACTGCAATCAACCAGTTTGCTTATGTGTAACTTACAGTAGGGGTAGCATTATATATTGTAGGAGTATAGAAATGAACATAGCTTGTTATAAAGCTCCCACTTCATTTTCCAAGTATTGTAATGCACTTGGTAAGATTTGGACCAGGAGAAAACCAACTGCAAGCCACTGAATAACATTGAAAACTGATAAAACTTGGGGAGTTTTGTCTTACTAATACTCTCCTACAGCATTTTGCAGCCTGGATTAGTTACTCCCTGCTTTGCCTGTTTCCTAGGGCTCCTCCAGGGATTCACTAATACTTTCACTCTTCAAGCCCGACTCCTTCAGGGTCTAATTGGGATTTTCAACTCTTCCCCTTAAAATCTCTGTGAGTGACTCAGGAAATCCCCTCCTCCTCCTGAAGAAAGCCACGACTATGACTGCACTTTGCTACATGCTGCCATGGCATACGTGCACCTGTCACTCCATGATTATGGGGCCTGGAAATGGAATGGGGAGGGGGCTTCGCTTCTGTGTCTTTTCAGTTACTGAGGTAAGAGTGACTTAACCTCAAAGGCAGCAAAGAAGAAAATCTGTAGCTTTCATACCACAGAAAGTAACAGAAAACACTTGGAACACATGGAGAAGTTAATGCTCTTAATATGTGGATTCATTCTGAGTAAGATAAACACAAATGTCAAAAAGAAAATGCAGGGCCTGGGGTAAATCTCTGAAAGAGTCCTGGATTAATCTCTAGCACCTCAAATAATTAAAAAGTGAAAATTGGTTAATAAATATGGAAAGACCACTGTGATTAAAAAAAATAAATAAAACTTAAGATGCTAATCATTAACTTTCAGTAATTAAAAGTAAATCTTAACATGATGGTGAGAAGTAAGTCTTACTGTTCTTAGTAGATGGAATGTGGGTCCATGCTTCCATTTTTTAGGGAATTAAGGTAGCAGTGCCCCAAAAAAACCCTAAAATGAAGTGTTAACTTTGATCCATGGCACTTCCAATGAACTAAGCAGGTTTTCCTATTTTAATTTAAGTCTTAAGGATAGGGGTGTTAGGTTTTTTTTTTTGTTGTTGTTGTTGTTTTGTTTTAGAAGTGATGGAAAGTAGAGAAACAACAATGTTGGATGTCACTGGTTTTACTTGTTTTCTTAGCTTTAGTGCATGGAAGATCAAACGTGAAAGGCCATGGGGAGAATCTTAGAATTTGACTCCCATAGTTCCTCTTACTTCATAGGAAACATGCATGAATCCTCGTATTGGTTACTTGAGTCTCCAGTTTGAAATGGGTCTTTTACAGAACTGTCCTGTAACAAGCCAGTCTGCATTCCTGGCTTTCCCGCGTACTTCCCGGTGCTGCATCTGCGTTCACAGAGCGTGTCTCTTCCCATCATACTCATCTTCAAGGCCAGGTGGTGTCGGCAGATCCTGACAGCTTTCCCTGGAGAGCGTGTTAGAGCGCAGCCACTGCCTCTTCATGGATCTGCAGCCCTCCCCTCCGCAGTCTGCCAATCACATCCAGTCTGTGCTCTGAATTCAGACATTAAGGTTGTACCCATCCCAAGGGTTTTTGCATTTAGTGTTTCCTCCACTTGGAAGTGTCTCCAAGACAAATGCACTTGGCCTCTCTTGGCCTGTTTAAAAATCACTTTTAAGGACACCTTCCCCTGAACACCTTCTAAACTGACAACTCCTCACTCTGGGCTTCCCCTGCTTTGTATTTCTCTATGGTATAAGTATACTTACTGCCAGTCTCTGTCCATCTTCATGTGCATTGCTGTTTCCCAACCCTCCCCTTAGACTTAAAACATGGGGAATTCAGACCCTGTGAACAAGCTTGGCTCAGATCACATGCTTTTTTAAATGGTTGGCATTCATGAGTAGACAAATTATTTCCAGAACTCTAATACTTGTAGCTCCTTTCTCTCAAGTGCTGTCCCAATGGCAGTATCTTACAATGGCACAATCACAGCCCTTAGCAAATCAGTGTAGTAGAATTACCTGGATCTTGACATTTCCCTTATATAAATAAAAATTATGCCAGTACCTGTCACAAGATGAGTTATGATATATAGCTCTTAGGGAGAATTCTATCCACCTTTACTAAATTTGAGCTCAGAAGTCCAGGTTCCCCAAAGAAAAACCAACATTGAATTGTTCTGACCACTTATCACCTTCCTGAAAATGCACAAAGCACAGCATGCTAGGCATGGATGGAGATGGGGATGTTGTCAGTCATGGTGACTTCAGCCTGGGCAGGGTAGACCTGATCTCAAAAGTGGGTCTGGTTCTCATAAGTAACTACAGTAGCTGCTGAGAAGTGCCAACTCTGTAGGGAGGTGATACTTACTGTTCCAGTTCAGAATCAAAAAAGTTCACATAGAGAAAAACAGAAGTGAAGATAAGTGCTGAAATGGTCTACAACCTTCCTAATGCTGCAATCCCTTAATACAGTTGCTTATATTGTGGTGACCCCCAACCATAAAATAAATTTGTTGCTACTTCATAACTGAAATTTTGCTAGTTATGAGTTATGTAAATACTGATGTGTCATGACCCACAGGTTGAGAACTGCTGGTCTGGAGTTTAGGCACAAGAAATAAAGTCAAAGAAGACATAATAAGAAAATGACTTAAAACTTTCATTTAGTATGTGATTGCCAGAGCACATCTGTGAAAGAGAACTCTGAGGAGATGACTCTCATAAATCCGTCTTTCTGGGTTCCAAGGATCGAACTCAGATCTCCAGGCTTGCCTAATGAGCACCTGTATTACCCAAGCCAATTCACCTGCCATGCAAGATACTTGTAACAAAAAAATCTTAAGTGCAGGATTTCCCCCCAATCCTTATTCCTACTGGGATTGGTTTGTAAAGGGCTCTGAATCCTGATGTGGAGGCACACACCTTTAATCCCAGCAGTTGGGAGGCGGAGAATGATAAGTAGGAGAAAGGGTTCTGGAGAATGACTGAAGGAAGTAGTAGGCGCTGCTGAGGGGGGTGTTGGAGCCCACCTGCCTCCATGCAGAAACAACCTCTAGGCTTTGAACATATGTTCCAGAGGATCTTGTGAAACACTGCATTTGAGGTGCCAGCAGGTTTTAAGAGGATGTGCTGGTCATACAAAATTAGGGAGATGTGGGAGAGTGTAAACAGGCAATAAAGTCATGAATGGACTTCAGGGGGATGTGTGGCCATTTGGAAAGACCTTTGAAAATGAGAGGAAGCTAAGAAAATGGAGAGTAAAATGCAGAGATCAAAGTAAAATGGAAGACTTAAAGACCTACTGGCAAGAAGTTTTAAGTAAGCTGTAAAACTACAGGTTAACTTGATTCCAGATGCCTTAGCAACCACCTTCCAGAAAACCCCACAAAGCTGCTTGGTGTATGCTTTGTTTGGTTTTTTTTTTTTTTCTTGTGTTTTGTTTCTTATTTGTTTTGTTGTTTGCTTGTTTGGGGTGTGGGACACATGTCTACAAAGAGCAGTTGGGCCTCAGCCAATCAAGTACTAGGATTACAGATGGGAGCCATACTACCTAGCCTGTCTCCCAAAGCCATGGTTTTCCTTAATGGCATGTGTGCGGTGTGATAACACAAATTAAACAGGGTGTTCCAAAGTAAAACAATGCAGCCCAAGTAAATGTGTGTGCAATGGTAGGGGTGTGGATGCAGAGGCCTGTAGCTTTACTAATCCAAATCATTATAATGGAAAGAAGGAATGTATACTTTTTTCAACCCTGTGACCCCTGCTGTTCCAGAGCATGCTAGGTGCCAGGAGATAGCACTCTTCAGTGTTTGTGCCTAGAATTGAAGGATTCTAGTTAACCCATTGCAGTCTGAAATGACTGCACAGTGACACCACCACCAACACACACACAAAGTCCAGTCCCAGCAAAAAGACTTATCCTCACCATCTACTAGCATCTTCGGCTCTTTGCAGTGCATGTCTTTTACCAGCCAATGTTTAAGAGCCAAGCACCTGCTCTTACTAAAGACTCAAGTATTCTTTGTCATAATTTACCCACAGTACTGCGCATTTAGATTTTAAAAGAAGAGTAAAGCCCTCAGCACTCTGGAGGCAGAGAAAGGCAGATATCTTAGTTCAAGGCCAGCCTGGTCTACAGCCAGGTGTGACGCTAAAGCAAAAATAATCACCTAGCCTAAGACGTGTATGTAGACCATTAAGATTCACAAAACAGTCACTCTGGCCTGAGCATGGATCCATCCCATCGTTTATCTTTCCAAGCAGCCTGAGTGTATTTGGAAGATGGGTTCCCTTTCCTCAGTAACGCGTGCGCGCACACACACACACACACACTCACAAAATCTAAAACACACAAGCAAGCATGCATTGTAAACCAAGCCTGGGAGGCGAGTCCGATATGGGATGGGATGGGCGGCCAAAATCCGCCGCTAAAACCAGGGGAGAAATTGCCCAAAGCTCACCGCAACTGTAGTGCGAGGGCAACATTGGCTTTCTGAGATAGCTGGTGCACACAGGCAGCCAGCCGGGACCTGTGCCAGGGCCTTCCCTCTGGCGCTCTCCATCTCCGGCCCCTTTCTCGGGCCTGCCTCACTCCACCCCCTGACGATGGTTGGTACGTTCTGGATGACTCCAAGAGCTTAAAAAGGGCCCGGGAGGGCGGATTCCGCAGCTTTGGTATTGACCGGTGCTGTGCACTAGGCTGGTCTCTGGTGACTTCCAGACCTGAGTCTCGATTCCCTTGCGAAAGCTCTTAGTGCTGTGGGTCCGGGCGTCCCGGGCTCTGGGTGTGTCCAGCCTGCAGCTGGGGTCCTTGCAGCCGGCCTGGAGGGGCGCGCCGCAGCCCTGCGGGGATGGAACGGACCGAACTGCTGAAGCCGCGGACCCTGACCGACCTCATCCGCATCCTGCATGAGCTCTTCGCGGGCGACGAGGTCAACGTGGAGGAGGTGCAGGCTGTGCTGGAAGCCTACGAGAGCAATCCCGCCGAGTGGGCTTTGTACGCCAAATTCGACCAGTACAGGTGAGCGTGCCTGGGCCTCTGCAAAGCTAGGTCCCTGCAGTCAGAAGGGAGGCCGCCCGCACTACTTTCAGGTTTTCTGCTCTCTCTCCCGCAAAACCCCGCCACCCCCACCCCTAGCCTCCAACACAAGGACACCACACCCACCTCCGCAGCTGTCGCTGGCACAGCACTTCGGGACCCCTCCGCCGCCTGGCACGCTCAAGCTTCGGCCCGGCAGCCGCCTGGGACTGACCACTGACGGTCGGAGGGCACTCCAGACCACCCCTGCCAACCATCAATAAAAGGGTGGTGGTGGGAGACACAATCTCAAATCAGCCCTCGGTCCCCAACCCTGGACACTTTGATGTGAAACAGCACGCGGGTTTTTCGAGCTTTACTATGCAGTTCTTCCAAACCACTCACCCCGACAGAGGGTTGGATCGCCCACTTTCAACTTTTGTAAATTGGGTACACCGTGGCCTTTGCAGGTCCCAAGTCCTTGGCCTTCTCTGGGCCTTGTTTCCCAGAATCTGGAAGGGAAAACTAAATAAAGACCGCTACTTTCCGGACCTGCTTGAGTGAGGTGTCTGGTAGGCTGGGACCTTTGGAAGCCTTGACTTAGGGATTAAGTCTGAGCGATCATTGTCAGCCCTCAGGGGCCAGAGTAAACCCTCGAGGTTTCTGTGTGGGAGAAAGAGCAAGCTTCTTCCGTGCTTGTGCTTGTTAGATGGCTAGTGAGAGGAAAGGATGGCAGAGAATGGACTTCTCAGAAGTCTCTCTCCTTAACATGGAACGTGTACAGTGAAGTTCTGTCAGCAAGGGCCGTTTCAACTGTACTTTGGAACGTAAAGTAGTAAAAAGCAAGGACAAGTAGGGTGGCATTTTGTGTTTGGGAAGTGGTAAGCAGTCTCCTTTGATTCTGGTCACTCAGTTCTGAGCTGGGTCCTGCACGGGAGCCCCTGATATGTCTACTTAAATGCTAGCAGGTAATTGTCAGTTTGCGGGCCAAGTGCATACAGTGAGAGGCAAAGCTGTCCTTGCCTCAGTTTGACAAGCAAAGACCAGCATGGAAGAGTTGGGAATTCTACACAAGGTCTGTTTCCCCAATATTGTTTAGGAGCCTACAATAAGAAGGCCACCTGCAGCCCTTTTTACATAGCTCCATATGTGTAAGTGTATAAAATAATCAAATATTTACTGAAAATCAACCATATTTTTTAAATTGACATAATATAACTTTATCATTTATTAAAGATTAAAGCAAATATGCGTACTAATGAGGTGGATTGCTTGTTTACTTTTACATAAAGAAATCTTGGTTGAATATTATTTTGATTTTACATTTGAGTGAAAGATTATTAAGCAGGAAAACAACTGAGGTTGGGCATGATGCTTACCTGTGGAAGACAGAGATAGGCAAACTGCAGCTGCACTGTGAGTTCACAGCCTAGGACACACGAAATCTCCACAGAGATGCCCCTCATCTTTACACCAGCACCATGGCACACACAGCCTCCCCATGATACAATAGTGGTAAATTTTTAAAAACTGGTTTCTATACAGTCATGTGATGACACAGGCAAGTGCTACTAGCTACCAATTTATTACTCATTACAATTTATTTGGAATTAATTTTTTGCCTGTACATTCAGAAATCATATACTGTTCTAATATTCATTGGTCCCACGTTCTGCTGTGCAATGCACAATTTAAGAAGCTGGGCTGTAGACCACCATGCAACTTTCTCAAGAACTGTGACAAATTCTTCTGTTACAGTAGCATATCTAGAGATAGAGATAGATAATTTCCCAGTGAAATTAACCAGGTGTGTTGCAACAGCTCTGATCGCTAGACAATGGCATTGCCAGGGATTTCTCCCTTGATCCAAGGCACAGTGCATTAAGATAAAGTTGAAGTCCTGGGTGGGATAAGGGTGGACTATAGGGAGAATAAGAAGAGAGGAAGATAGACATGAATTCTGTGGTGTTGCCCTTGGTGCCCAGAAGGGTTTCAGTCTGTGATCTGGGGGTTGGGAACAAGGCTATGTGTTCCAGTAAATCCAGACAGTGAGTTCTCTGAAGAAGTGGGTTGTTAATGCAGGAACCCTGCCTTCTGTGATTCAAAGACCATGTATCCAGCCCCTTCCTAGGTCATAAGGAACTCAAGTATAAAGGAGACTAGCAGCTAAAAAGAAAATAATAGTACTTGATAACTCTCCAGAGACCCATGTCCTGCAAGCACTGGCCCTGAGCCTGGGGCATGGTAGGAAGGACAGGACAAGAGTAAAGCCGAATGGAGAGCATTAGTTAACAGATGACTATGTGGACAAACAGTACCAAAACAAATGTACACAAGCCTTCCTTACCAATAGAGACAGCAGTCTAAAAAACGAATGTACACACGCCTTCCTTACCCGTAGAGACAGCAGTCTAAAAACGAATGTACACAAGCCTTCCTTACCCGTAGAGACAGCAGTCTAAAAACAACTGTACACAAGTCTTCCTTACCCGTAGAGACAACAGTCTAAAAACGAATGTACACATGCCTTCCTTACCCGTAGAGACAGCAGTCTAAAAACGACTGTCACAACCCTCAGCCATTGTTGGCTAGATGCTGGCAACAGGACCGTTCAGACCAAATTACAACTTAAGAGTTCAAGTGTCCTTAGGAGAGTTGTTTTGGTTTGGATTTTTTTCTTGCCAATTATAATAGTAAAAGGTTTAATAGTATTCTGACCTAATGTGGCCTTTGTTCTGGAATTTACTTCCAACCTTCAGCTTATTTGTGCAGAACTTTTCCTTATGAGTGCTTTTGAATGTGTTCGTATCAGGGCTTTAGTAGTAAAACTAGACAGAATTCTAGAATAGTCCTTTAATGAAACTTCGGTCCTCAAAGCCTACTAAAAGGGGAAAAAGCCCAAAACAATAGCAACATTCTTTTCTGGAGTAGTAATGAACTTTCTGAATACCTTCCGTGAGAATGCTACTTTTTATTAGTTTGAGACTGATAAGCATGGAGAAACATGAAATTTGGATTATTTTTTCCCAAGTTATCTTTTCATGACTGAACAGCTACCGCAGGAAAGTCGACAAATCAAAATACAGAAAGATCTTGTCATTCTTCCTGGACAAAAAAATTAAAAATATAAGTCCACAATGCAGAAAAGTCAAAGGTCAGCTGTGAAGAACAGTTTTCATTTGTTCTGGGTTCTGAATTCAAAACCCATGTTCAAGTTTTGAGGTAGAACTTGGGGCTGGGATTCATGCTCCTATGCACAGTGGGTTAGGTGGTCCACTTTGAAAGCCTGTGAGCAGCTAGACCTTTGAGTGACACCTGCCATTTCTAGGAAATGTGCCTGGAGGTTAATTACTGCTTTCTTTAAATAATGCCTTCCTTGTTTAAAAACAAACAAACAAACAAAAAACCAAAAATTGCACATTGAAGTGGCTCATACTTTATTTGGGCTAAAGGAGGCAAGCTGTGCTCATTATTTTTAGATGGCTGTGTGAACAAAACTGAACTATAGATTTAATTCAGGAATACGAGTTAACATTAAATGGGTGTGAACAATTGGTACTGAGAGAGAGGTTTGCTAAAATGAACTGGTGTGGCTCCACGCTCTACCCTTTTCTTGACAGTTTTTGAAAAGCTGGAAATTTGTTTGGATTGGTTTTGGGGTTTTTTTGTTGTTGTTTTTGTTTTTATATTTCCCTTATTCTTGTGTTTTTAAAAGAACAAACCCCAAACCCTACAAATGGCTCCTACTGAACTTTTAATTTGAATGAAAGATTATTAAACAAACAAACAAAAAAAAAGACTGGTGATGCTTGGATTCCCAGCGCTTGGGAGGTAGAAGTAGGGGAGCAGGAGTTCACAGCCTAGACTAAGTGAGACACTTGTTTAAAATGATAATAACCGTAAATAAAAGTAGACGGTACTTGTTATTTTACTTTTTCTAGTACTCTCTCAGCAGTCAGATTCAGACTGGCATGTATCTATCTTTTTAGGTATACTCGAAATCTTGTGGATCAAGGAAATGGGAAGTTTAATCTGATGATTCTGTGCTGGGGTGAAGGACACGGCAGGTAATTCACTCACTGAAGACGGCTCCTTAGGGTACTCCTGCCTCGGGACTCCTCCCACCCTCCGTGGTTCTTCTTACCTTTCTTTCATAAATCCACCATTTGCCTGGGCATGGTGGCGCACACCTCTAATCCCACCGTAAGAGCCAGAGGCAGGTCACTCTCTGTGAGATCCAGGTAGTTGCAACAAGCCATATGTCAGTACTCTGAAGTTACATTTTGGGGTGTGCTCTACACTAATGTGAATGTGTGTTTGTGATACTTCATTAATGAAGTTGAGGTTAGATACATTGTTTTCTGTTTTGCACATTTTGTCAACTTCTTGAACTGTTAACTGCTTTGATAATGTATTTTAAAAGAGACATTCAGTAATCTCAAGGTTCAGTTGGTATTAAGTTATTGTGTACACAGTGAGTTCTAGGACAGCCAGGGCTACCTAGTGAGACTCTGTCTCAGAGTAAATATTTAAAAATATTCTATGTTTTGCAATGCTAGGAATTAAATACATGTCTCATGCATACTGCAAGCACTCTACCCTCTAACAATATCTCAGCCCCAGTCAACATATGTCTTACAGTGTCTGGCCCAGACTGTGAACAGTAAATAGTGCCAGGCTGGTCACCTACATCACAAAGACTAGCAATTCACATTTTAGAATTATTTATTTCATTGCCCACTAATCTTTGCATGGGTTTAGCACAGGGGGTGGGAGTCAGGCATGCACTATGTACATTAAAGTCACTCCCTGCCCCCAGCCAACAAGATGGCTCAGTGAGTAAATGTGCTTGCCACCAAACTTGATGATTCTCTCCAATTACTGGAGTCCACAGAGAAAACCAACTTACAAGTTGTGGACAGACACACACACACACACACACACACACACACACACACACACACACACACACACTAATAAATAAGAAAATGTAAAATAATGAAAATAAAAACAAGGCCTTCACCTCAAATGAGTAGCAATTCAGAGGAGACAAATAGTCACCTTAATTCAAAGTCTCTGTCTCTTATGGAGTTAAACTGGTTTTGGAACTGTGTTTAACCCTGACCTTTGACCTTTGTGGTATGAGAGATGTGTCAACAACTGTGGGACCAAAGACCAAACTGGTAAGATTTGGAGCTAGAAAAACATGTCACAATTTAAAAAAAAAATCTGTCTACCTCTAGTTAATTTGTTCAACTTCTTTACCAGGTAGGCAACTTAAACTAACACCAATACTTTAAAATTTGTTTCCTTTTCTTTAGTTTGTACATTTGTGTTCCTATGCATCTCTGCGTGCGTGCAAGTATGTGATGCCAGAGATAAAATCCAGAACCTCCCATACTATGCAAGCACTCTTCCACTTCTAATATTCTTTCATTATCAATTCTAACACAGTTTAAACGAGTTATTAAATGTTGCATTTTCCAGGCATTGTGTCACACTTATAATCCCAGCAAACCTGTAATCCTCCCTTCTGAAGCAGGAAGATGATGAATTCTAGCCCAATCCTAACTGCATAATGAGACCTGTATCAAAGACAACCTTGAGCAAAACAAAAAGACAAAAGCAACAAACATAAAACTATATTGGGGGAAAAAAGAAAAGAAAAGGTTTCTGGGTTTGTGTTTTGTAACCAGATAATAGTATAACATTAAAAAAAAAAAAGTAAGCCACTCTTTAGTGGGAGTTTACATCAAAGCTGTAAGTTACCTACCTTGATGTGGATGATGTGTTGTTACTGTCCCCAAAACAATAATACTGAATTTTAAATTGATAGGTGTAAAACACAGCAACTGAGTGAATTAGGTCCTGTGAGCTTCTTGACAGTGTATCAGTTTCAGCTCAATCAGTGGGGTGCTGGACCAACTACTGAGTTGTTTGTCATTTTGTGCATATGTAGCAGTATTCACGATCACACGGACTCCCACTGCTTTCTGAAGATGCTGCAAGGAAACCTAAAGGAGACATTGTTTGCCTGGCCTGACAAAAAATCAAATGAGATGATCAAGAAGTCAGAAAGGACCTTGAGGGAAAACCAGTGTGCCTACATTAATGGTAACAGCCTATTCTTTGTCTATGAGCACATAGGAAAAGCTGAACTCTTATCTATACGTGTTGATGGAAAATAGTTGCATAGTCGCAGTATGGCCTAAACACAATGGGTTTCTACTACTTTAAAGCAGGATTGGAATAATTCATTCAAAACATATGCATGAAGATTGTCATTCGTTGGAAAGTCATTTACTGGCAAAACTTAGAACAGAGAAAATAGTTGTATCTACTTGGGAAATGTATAGTGTGCTTGTATTAGAAAATGCAAGGACATGTTCTGGAACTGATTAAGAACATTAGCTAGTGCCTATTTCTCTAAACTGCATGCAGAATATCTAAAAGACTTTTCTCAAAGGAAATTTTGCAATGTATATTGTTGGGCAATGACTTACAGATATCTTACCAAGAATTTGTTCTTTCCTTGATGTCTTCTGGAATATCCAAATGCTCCCCAAGAGAGGCAGTGAATTTACTTCTATTTCTAAAAAGAATCATAACTTTCCAGAAGTTCATTAAAGCATATGAGAGTCATAATTTTTATTCCCATTTATAGATGAGATAGCCAGTAAATATGAAGAATCATTTTTATTCTCATTTGTGGATGAGATTGCTAGCATATATGAAGATTAAATAGTGTGTCTGGAGTCACTTGGGTTGTATATATTTAGCTAGCATTTGAACCCACATACTTTGAGTCCAAACATATGCTTTTAATCAGGATGCTGTCCTGCTTATATGAAATAAAATATTACAATTTTTCCCTGGCAAACACAGTACTGCCTTCATATATCTTAGAGTCTAGTATTGGCCTTGCTACTTGGCTTAAGTTTATTAGATTATTAGTTTAGGAATGCAAATCAGTTACAAAGATCAGATTGTATGGGAAATGTCTTCTCTTGTATTCCCATCCCACCAGTCTATGGGTTTCCTCTGCAGACATCTTAGTTTGTTTTCCCAAACATTTGAGGGTTGCTATATAGAAGGCACACCAGCTTTATAAGAACAGACTTGTGGCTGATACCACAGTGCAGGAAAGCTAAAAGCTTCTTTTAATTACTTTCATCTGGAATCAGAGTCTTGGAGAACGCCTGTTCCATTTGGAAAAGAGCGTTGTCAGGGGCCTCCGGTACAGAAGCTTGGGGCATCCAAATGGAGGGTGAAGGGGGATGATGCAGACTGGGTTTTGGTAAGGACTTGATGAACTCCAAAAGGACAGCAGTGGTCACCAACCCCAGCGAGAGAGTCCTGACTCTGTTTCTGCAGAAGTGTTAAATTCTGGTTTTTAATGTTAATTTTGCCAATCAGTAAAACGTGGGGTGAGCTTAACTGAATAATCTCGTAGACTAATCGCTGACATACATTACAAGCTTCCCAGCCCCTGATTTTTACAGATTAAGGATGGACATGATATGATCAGGAGAAGGTTCCCAGTCCAGGGAAGCTCACAGTCCTTGCTCAGAAAGGAAACTTAAGGAATGGGGGCAAATGGAAAGGAGGAGAGGGTTGGACAGGACGTGTTAGGAAACTATAAGGAAGATCAAGACACCAGTCTCCAGGGGCGGTAGAAAGATGAGCTTTCACCCATTTTACCCATTTGGTAGAACATACAACATAGGGTGGAGGAGAGAGGGGAGCTGGAACAGAGACTGGGCAGCCCGTTTCACCTGGGAAAAGGTCAACAGGACCTTGATAAAAGCCACCAAGAAAGTTCCAGTATGACTGTAACAGAGGGGAGAAAGAGGCAAAGAGTGAAATGCAGATTCTGAACAGGGAGGCTCATGAATGGACCTTGGGCTCTTCTAAAGGATGAGTAACTTGATCTGAAGGCTGTAGGACTGTCCATTAGGAGCCTGTTGGTGTGGGCATCTGCAATTAGAAAAGAAAAAACTTTATTTGTATACAGAGCATTCTGTTAACACTGAACACTCATTCGAAACTGCGCTTAAGCAGGCACTAGATCACTTTGGTTTTATTAACGCAAAGTGTTAGCATGTCCTGGAGCTTCAACACTCAAGAGGCTGAGGCAGGAGGATTTTTTTTTGCAAGTTTGAAGCAAACCTGGGCTACCTAGTGAGTTCAGTGTCAGCCTTGGAGACAGAGAAATTCTGAAGAGAATATTGGACCAGGCACAGTGGCACACACCTCTAATCCCAACACTAAGGAGGCAGAGGCAAGTGGATCTTTGTCACTTCAAGGCCAGACTACATAGTAAGTTCCAAGACAGCCAGAGTTACATAGTGAGACCCTATCTTGAAAAAACAATGAGAGGGAGAGAGAGAGAGGAAGAGAGGGAGAGAGGGGGAGGAGACAGAGAGAGAGAGGAAGAGGGAGAGGGAGGGGGGGGAGAGGAGAGGAGAGAGAACATTGTTGGTTTTTTTTTTTTAATCTTCCTGGACATAGTTGTCCCTGTCTAGATTGGGCATCTCTAAACCAGGGCTCACTGCCAACCTACATGTCCTCTTGATGTCATCCAGGCCTCCCCTTGCTTTTTCCTGTGTTGGAGCTTATTTCCCTAGCTCATGTTGTCTTGGTTCCCACCCTTGTTTGTGTAGGTACGCCTTCCCTGTCTCTTTATGAAAGCAGTCATGAATGGTTGATTTTTGAGACTTCCTAATATCTAAAAAGCAAAACCCTGCATTCAAATCTTATAACTTGATAGAAAAAGTTATTTGGATTTGGATTGTGGCCGGTCAGTCATTGTCCCTCAGAAGGCTCTATCTTTGTCTTTTAGTATATTCTGTTCCTGTTGAAAGCCCATGATCGTTCTGATGCTTAACTCTTTCTCTGGGAGATCTGGAAATGTCTGGAATCTTCTCGCGTGGCGCCTTCATTCTGCCCCACGTTGTGTCACTGTAATAATGTTACCTAAAGCCTCATTGCTCTGCCAGGTGCACACTGCAGTTTGCACACTTGTGCCCATCAACCCAAGAAATACTTGGTCCTGTGAGTTGTGTTTCTAAAGGCCTCTGTTTGGATATTAGGCTCCCTGAACCTGTCCTTTGATCTTTTTCTCTTTCCTGTTATTTTAATCTTTGTCCTTTGTGTCTCTGAATCCTCCTCAACTCTTTCTGCCAGCCCTTCTGTTCAGGTTTTGTTTAATTTGGCGATCCTCCTGCCTCTGCCTCTTCAGAATTCCCTCCAGGCGTGCACCACCATATCCAGTTCTCTTTCTGTTTTTGAGAAGCCTTTTGAGGCTGGGGGTGTAGCTCAGCTGGTAAAGTGTTTGCCCGGCATGCATGCACGGTCCTGGGTTCAATCCCTAGTCCTACATAAAGCAGCCCTGAACTTGGGAGGTCAGAAAGGTGAATTAGAAGTTCAAGGTAGCCATAGGCTGCATGGGAGCACCACGCAAAGAATATAGAAATAAAAACAAAGTCTTTTGATTCCTGCTCCCCTTTGGGTATTTTGTCCCAGAGAGAATGCTAAAAATAGACTTTTCCAGGTCTTCTCGGTGTCCTGTTTCAACTTGCTTGTCCAGGGTGCTCAGGCCACCCTCTGTCTGCTGCACTAGAGGCTAATTCAGTTGTGTGCTCATGTGTAAAATCCAGGGACAGAAAAGTTCCGCAGTGGCTAGGAACACAGGACAGGACTTGTTGACAGGATCTCCCACTGAGGGTCAGGCAGAGCCCTTTAGTGGGAGAGGGGGCGGTGGCAGGTTGGGGAGGGCTTTTCTGTGGAGCTGGTGAGATGCTTGCATCTGTCTGGAGAAAGAAGTCCTAGGTGATGATTGGCTGGTGAGAAAAGCGAGACTCTTGTATTCACATATGGCCTGTTGCTTCGTTCGCTTGCTTATAACCTGGTATCTACCAGTAGCGAGTTCAGCCATGGTACTTTTTCTAGACAGAAAGTCCCTGTCTTCTACTGGGGTTGAGAGCATGGGGGGGAGGGGAATGGCGAAAGAATTTAAGACCTTACTTCCTAAACAGCCTTTCAAGCAGTCAGTGTGTTTAGCCCAGTCTTCTCTTGTTTCCAGAAAGTTCCTGGTACTGCCAATTCCTAAACTATTTGAGGGTTTCAAAATACGCTTTCTTAGTTTTTCCCCTGAGTAGTTTAGGATCTTGTTTCCTTTTTTAATGAAACTGCCTTCTATGCTTTCGAGTTCTTATGAATGCTTTCTTTCTTGCTATATTGTATCTAGTTTTAGTCTTTCACTGTAAGTGTGAGGCAGTTTGCAGTTAAGGATGCCTGCATGGCCCTTACTAACCATAACAAACAAATCAATTATAATGTGTACTCACCCCATACTGGTCAGTATCAACGGAAGGTTGTGTACTCACCCCATACTGGTCAGTATCAACGGAAGGTTGTGGGTGGCCAGGCAGCTTTTCGTCTTCCCTGTCGTCTTGCGTCCTGGGTAGTTTTCTGTCCTCTTTCGTCTGTCCAGATTCCATTGGGTTGCATCGAGTAGAGAACGTGAGCCACACGGAGCCTGCCGTGAGTCTTCACTTGTACAGCCCACCTTTCGATACGTGCCATGCCTTTGATCAAAGAACGGGCCACAAAAACAAAGTCACCATGACATTCCACAGCAAATTTGGAATCCGGACTCCATTTGTAAGTAGTTTCCTGGGTTCAAATGACTTAGAAGGGGCTGGAGAGGTAGTTCCCACATTAAGATCACTGGCTGCTCTTGCAGAGGACCCAGATTCAGTTCCCAGGTCACACATCATTCTTAACTCCATCTCTAGGGGACCTGATGCCAGTGTCCTCTTTTCTGTTGTTGTTGTTTTGTTTTTATTTTTATTTTTTTTGAGACAGGGTTTCTCTGTGTAGCTTCTGGAGCCTGTCCTGGAACTCTCTCTGTAGACCAAGCTGTCCTTGAACTCACAGAGATCAGCCTGCCTCTGCCTCTCAGCCTCTCAAGTACTAGAATTAAAGGCGCACGCCGCCACCACCCAGCACCAATGTCCTCTTATGACCTCTATGGGCAGGCATGCACTTTGTACATATACATACATGTAGGCAAAACACTCATACACATAAAATAAATCTTAAAAAGTGCATGACTTAGAGGTTGGCAATAATGTGTTACATGTAGGCTTTCATAGTTCTGAGTTTATTCAGTGTTCTGGAGACATGGCTCAAGAACACATGGTTCTTGCAGACAGCTTGCATTTTATTTCCAGAACTGATGTCTAGCAGCTTACAACTGCCTTTAACTCTAGCTCCAGGGAGATCCAATGCTTCTGGCCGACTTATGCATCTGTACTCACATAAAACACATTATTTTAAAATTGATAAAAATCATTTAAATATCACAAATCTAGATATTCTTGAATGAGATCTCAGGGTAAAAGTCCAGTCTATCCTTATTATTTCTTTCTTTTTTTTCAGTTTTATTTTTTAAATTTTTATTTTTAAATAAATTTTATTTAAATTAGAAACAATCTTATTTTATGTATCAATCCCAGTTCCCTCTCCCTCTCATCCACCCATTCCTATTATTTCTTAAACATTGGAGATAATTTATTTTTAAAATTAAATTAAATGCAAAGACATGTTTCTTGGGAAGCTTCAATATGCATGTTCATTCCTAAAGAAAATGTTTTCTCCAGTTATTTGGCTTATTTCCCACTATGTGACCTACTGTTCACAGGTCTGGTTTACTGGGATATCAATCAATTGCATTTGCAGAGACTGTTCTGAAGCTGAGTTTTGACTATTACCTGTGCTAGCTAGTTCACTGAGATGTAATGCTCTTTAGATCACAAATGTATTGAGATGTGCTATATGCTAAGACAACCTTCTTGAAGGACAAGCACACACACACACCCAATAAGGCAGTCAATAATACTGTGGTAGAACAGTTTCCTACCATTGGTGAAATAAATTGGGATGGTCTTAATTTAGTCATGAATGAAGTACATGGAAACGTGTCAAGAAATAGTACATGGAAACAGGCTGCCATAACCCTCAAGTAACTTCTTGTGCTGTTTTGCCTTTGTCTTCCACTCTAAAAGATATTATCACAAAAATAAAGCCATAATGCTCCATTATCATGGTCAGGCTTTTAAATTGTGCTTGAGAAGCCAGACCACTTAGAACAGTGGTACTCAACCTTCCTAGTGCTGCAACTCTTTAATGCAGTTCCTCATATGGTGGTGACCTCCAACCATAGAATTATTTTCGTTGCTACTTCATAACTTTAACTTTGCTAATTATGAATCATAATGTAAATATGCCTTGTGTAAAAATTCTTGCACAACTTTCTCTTTTTCTCCCTTACAGCCAACTTCAGGATCGCTGGAGAACAACTAAGGCATACCAAGCCCTGGGAAGTTTTGCTTTCAGGCTTTCTGAATGTTTACCTTGGGCAGAGAGGCCGCCCACCCACCATCTGCTGTCCAGTAACACAGTTAAATAATGCCCGTGCTCGGTTCTACTGACTGCCAACAGGCGCTAAGGAAGCAAACAGTGTCCTGAGCTATGCAGGAGAAAATCCCACTAAAGAAAAAGTCTCGCAATTTTTAATGGCCAAATCACATTGCTCTGGATTCTTCTGTACTCTAATCCATGGAAACTCTACTGGGGGGTTTCAGCGGGAGCATTTCAGCCTTTGGTAACTCTCTGGTCTCTGAACTATAATAATCAAAAGAAAAAGTCAGAAACTACAAACTGTCAAATGTCTGTTTTGATATACCTGGAAGACTAAATGTAGAAACCTTTAATATACTTCGTATGTTCCTAATATTTGATGAGAATTTTTTAAATCTGGATTTTATTTTTTCAAGCCTGTTTGACAAATTCCTATGCTGTGGAAAACAGGGAAGTATGTAGCAGTTTGTTACTTGGTAGTGAATAGCAGTGGCTTTAGAATTGTGCCTGCACCCAGACCTCCTGCAAACAAAAAACTGAAACTGTGTTTAATGTGTCCCCCTTTGTACTGCCACCAAAATTGCCAAACAACTTTAATAAAACTGGCTTTGAGAAGAAGTAGACATTGCCTTTTTGATGCATATAATAAAAATCATCATATAAGTGATAATATCTTAGATTTAGATACATTGCCAAAGCAATGTGAAAAGATACTTTGATTTGGGAGAGGGCTAGTGTGTGTGTGTGTGTGTGTGTGTGTGTGTGTGTGTGTGTGTGTGTGTGTGTGTTGCTAGCAATCAAACTCAAGGCTTCTTACACGTTACACATGTACTTCACCACCAAGGTACACCTCCATCCTCAAACATGTTTCTGTGATATAGGATTGTGACGGCCAAGTAGCTACATTCAACAACAACTTGTGGGTCTTATTTTCACCAATTCACAAGAATACCAACACAGGGGCAGTCTTGCCTTGAAATTTGCATGTGTGTCCTTCTTTACATGTGTTCAAATGTGGCTTTGTATCCAACATTTAAACAGTGAAATCTTATAGAAGGAGATAGATGCCTAACATCTTAAACCTTGAAGTTACCTGACAACATTAGGCTAGGCTTTATTTTCAGCTAGGGTCTCCTCAGAAGCGGTCATCACTCCAGCCTTCTGCAGCCCCAACTCACCTGTTTAGACAGTTCTCTTATGAATGTCTCTTGTCATCTTGGAGTAGGTGTCTTGGGACTCAGTTGGGAAGTGAAGTCTTTTCTGAAAATAGTTTCTAGACCTATCACCCCAGACGTGCTTACACTAAGTTTCTCGTCTTTGAGGTGGATACTAATGTTTATTTAATGCTTACTCCATAGTAAAGATTTTTCAGTTACTTGGACATAACATAATTCATTCTGGAAAGCAAGCCTAATAAATTAGATGCCAATTTTTCTGCTGGGACTACAATATACCACAAACTTAGTAGCCTAAAGCAATGCAGATTTACAGTTTACTGTCAGCTCTTTCATAAAGTCTAACTGTTTTGCAGTTCTCATCAGGACTTTGTCCTACTTTTCTGAGTAGGATCTGTTGTTGGATTTCCCAGCCACTTGGTTCTGTTCCTTTCTATCTCCAAAGCCAGAAAAATGGCAGGTTCACCTCTGCATGCCAACATTTCAATTACCTTCTACTTCTGTTTTCTACTTTGAGGAACACATGGTTGGATAATGTCTCCATGTCAAGGGTGTACCCTTAATCATATCTCTTGCCACAGACATTAATAGGTAACATTAATAGGTCATTAGGATGTTGGTATCTTTGTCAGGGAGACCTTCTGGCTATCCCAATCTGTTCTCTGGCCCTCAGTGAGCCTAGCCTATCTCACATGCCAGACACAGTCACCGTCACCAGGTGTCCAAAGTCTCTCATTCTGTTATAATTTCAAAGTTAAAGCCCTTCTCCAATCTCATTCAAATTAAGAATGAGGGAAACAGTCACGTGACACTTTCCCTAGAGAATCATGAACAGACATCTACTCATTCCAGATGGGGAACTGACCACAGACCAGAGCACGGATACCTCCAAAGTCCAGCTTCCTGAACTAATTAATTCTATTAGGGTTTTTGCAGGAATATGGGTGAGGGGTTCCAGGCTTGCAAAAATGGCTCAAAGACAGCTGCATCACCAAAGCCCACCCCAGCATGGGTGACAGTACACAAAATCTGGGAACCTGGAGCTCACTGCACAGCCTACAGGCAGCTCAACAGGTCAGACAGTGGATTTTCCAGGCGCGTCAATGGACGTGAGCCTCTTCCAGGCAGCTTGACTGGTGAGAGTCCTCTCCACTGATCTTGGCCTTTTGGATGTGGTGCAGCTGGTCTGAGAGTATCACTCAGCATCCATTAACACACACACACACACACACACACACACACACACACACACACACACGAGGCAGAAGGAACCTGTATCTGGTAACTTGCAGGGACATCCTGAAGTCTTTGACGTGTTTACCTCCAAAGGCTAAAGAATGTTCCTGTAGAATGAAATGTTTCCCCTCCCTTTAGGACATATTGTGTCTTTAACAAGCTTTCCTCCAAGATGAAAGCTTTTCCATTACAACACTGTTAAAATCCACCTGGCAACACAATTTCCCTGTATATGTAGATCCACTGAGTTAAGAAATATGCCAGAGGTCCCCAACCATGATATTAGAAGTGTAGGATTTACATCCGGGCTTGGCTTCCAGCAGCCTCCTCAAACTCACTTTCCTTGTAGATAATTCACGGGAAAAACAGCCAGAGCCACTTTCATTTTTTGTCCCATTATATTAAGACAAAAATAAGTGTAGTTGTTCATTTTGCACTCGTGCTATATGCAAATATTTTAATGTAGGTAGTGTGTGTGTGTGTGTGTGTGTGTGTGTGTGTGTGTGTGTTGTGCCCATGGAGCACAATGTCCATATGGAGGGTAGAGGACAACCTGTAAGAGTCAGTTTCATTGTGTAGATTCTAGGGATTGAACTCAGGTTGATTGAGCTCAAAATCAATCTGGTCTACAAAGTGATTTCCAGCCAGGGCTATGCAGTGAGATCCTATCTCAAACAAAAAACAAAAAACAAAAAACAGGTTATACTGAGCTTTCCAGGAAACATCCGATGCATGTGCTACCTGGTCTGAGACCTGTCCTCACATTTCACAGAGATGTGTCCTCTCTGCCCTTTAGGAAACCACAGACTATCATAACTTTATTTATCTAACTAGCAGGTGGTTAGAGAAAAAAAGGACATGTGGAAAAATGATGGAAGCTGGCCACAGGAAGACAAATATTGTAGAGTATGTGTATTTGAAGTACCTGGAACATGCGCAGTCATGGACACAACGAAGAGAGGTTCCCGGACACCAGAGTGAGGAGGGCTGAAGACTTATTGTTGAAATGATAACAGAGGTTGTGGTGGCATTGGTGAGACGTTTGCATGTAGATGGTGGTGACAGGTACAACAGCACTGGGAATGCGTTTAATGCCACAGAATTGGACATTTGCAAATGTTTAGAAGAGAAAATAATTTCTCATCACACTTGTTTCAAAAATTATATTTGAGAAAAAAAGTACGCCTGAGTGGTTGTCAGCATGTGGGATTGAATTTCCACGTAGAATGACAAAAGCTTAAAAGGGATTTTAGAAACAAAAGAATAGAGAGAAGCACAGCTTCTTGGTAACAGCTTTTTTCTCAGGTGAGCTCTGTTTTGCTATTGACAAGCAGAGACTCACGAGGCTCGCTTAAGGGAGTCTTCCTGACTCAGAAAAAAAAAAAGCCAGCAAGCTGCTTTTATGAGGCTCTGCTAACAATTGAATGGTGTGCACGAGCATCTGGCAGTGGCAGTGACCACATTTCCAAGCTGACACCATGCTGCTGGATGTCAGCACAGACTGAGGCAGTAAGCAGGAGTCAAACTTATGCCCTCCATGTGGGAAAGCCAGTGGCTGTTTCCACTTTAATTTTAGCAATGTTCTTTAGCCTGTATAAGACACGTGACCAGAAAAACATAAAGTTTTACAGTAAAGTCAGATTCAGATGAAGAAAAATATAGGTAGACTTGGGAGAGTAAAAGAAACAAGATGTTGAAAAAAATTAAAGTAAAGTAGCTGGGTGTGGTGGCACACGCCTTTAATCCAGGCACTGGGGAGGAAAACATAAACAAATAGATTAGCTGGGTGTAGTGGCAGACGCCTTTAATCCCAGCACTCCGGAGGCAAAGGCAGGTAGATTTCCAAAGAGATACCCTGTCTCAGAGAAATAAGTAAAAGTAAAAGAAATAGAGTAATATAAGCCACGTAAAAATGGAAAATACACTGAAAGTCTGCATACTGTATGCTGTTGTGTTTTTCAGTTGTTCAATGGCTAAGGAAGGAACAACTGCTGAAATATACTTGATTATAAATGCTGCTGAATTAATCCAACTTATATCTCTCAAAAATACTTTGCCTTCTAATTGGTTAATGATCACAACCAATCTCTTTTTAAAGGTAAAAAGGGATTATGGTATGGAAATGAATACTTTGTATTGGTATGGTTTTTCATTTATTGATACAAATTCAAGGTCAATTTTGTGATATGTATATTTTTCCTCTTGATTAAGCATTGTGCTTATACTAATCTTTTAAAATGTAATGCATAATTAAATACAGACTATAAATAGTTACTTATAATAGTCAGAACTTATAGTTAGGTTAGTTAGGTTTTCTAGATATACAGACATATATTTGAGATAGATAGTCTTCAAACCTTTCAAAGACCTTCAGAAAATGGCATTTAAAATGGTTTAGGGTTTTTCTTGTCTGCTCCTGACAGCACTAGTTATGACTGAGAGGAAGATGGGCATTGAAGAAATGCGTTATGGAGTTTGATTTCAACATGGCAAGATTAGCCATTTGGGCAAGAAACTGCTCTTGCCTGGACTGCTTGACTGTTGCTGTATAAACTGGACATGCAGGAACACAGGAAAGTGACTGCTGAACTCAAACAGTCCTTCAGGGTTCCTGCTTCATGGAAAAGTCTATGAGATTTTCTGCAGGACTTTAAAAAATGAATGACAGACTGCCAATACAGATGGACAGTTTGAAATTTCCTGCTTTGCTGAAATTTGTCTTCCAGACACACTGTGGCCTATGGGCTGAAGATGTATGCCCCAATATTACAGAGGAACTTCAGGTGACTGTTAAGGCAGTAAGATGTCTCTGGCAATTCTAGTGTTTATATATTATCCTTCTGTGGTCTTTGATGGAGTTGAAGGCAGATAGTTATAATCATAGTTTTCCTTAGTTATGATAAAAGATAAGCTACATATAAGATTTTAGACTCACAAAGATAGGATAGATGATACTTTCTTTAAATCTTAATAATGTTAATGGACAAAATATTATAACTATGTTCTTACTTGATAACTGTTCTGCTATATATAATTTTACTATGTTTAAGCTAAAACCTTTCTTTTTATTTAGACAGAAAAGAGGAGATGATAGGAGATGTAATTCTCTAAATCTATCTCTTATTGGTTGTTGAATAAATCACTGTTGGCCAATAGGGAAGCAAGATAGGTGGGACTAGGAGTCAAGGAGGATTCTGGGAAAGAGAA